ACGCTTGGCCTTCCCTTTCGACTTTTCTTCCTTTTCCTTTTTTTGCCCTTGAGCCCAGGCTGTTGCTCCTCAGACACAGCCTTATGGATCTGATTCCTCTCTGGCTTAGCAGCCTTGGGAGGATGCTTTTCTTCCTCCTCCTCTTCTTCACTCTGATCCTGAATCAGGGCTGCAAAAACATTACCACCCCTGGTCTTCTTTCCTGCTCGGGGAATCGGGGCAGGTATCTCATCCTCTTCGTCACTGGCAGGTACAGAAAGGGGCTCTGTTAGCTCTTTTTCCTCTCCATCATCATCCACATCCTTCTTCCGCTGGCCCTTTTCGAGGGTCTCGCTTCTTCTTTTGCTGCTGTTGCTGTTGCTGCTGCTTTTGCTGCTGTTGTTCCTTCTCCTTGAGCACTTTCTCTTCTTCCCCAGCCTGTTTATCTTCTACGGCCAGCTCCTCCAAGAATGTCTTTTTGGTCTTTTTGTCTTTCTTCCCTTTCTTCACCACCTTGTCTGTGGGACTTGGGCTGTCTGCGTCCCCGATCCACTTGGGCTCCGGTGGTTGCTGCTTGGGTCCCTTCGGCATTGCATTACTACTACCCTGGCGGAGCCCTGTGCTGTTTCCCAACTGTTAGCATTTTGACATATTTTCCCCTCTTTCTTTTCATGTGGTGTGTGTGTGCGCGCGCGTGTGTGCACATGTGTGATGGAATGATTTGAATGACATTTGTTATGGACCACATGTTTGTGGCTGCCTTCAATTCATATGCTGAAATCCTAACCCCCAAAGTGATATATACAGATGGGAATATGGTAGGGGATGACTAGGTCAGGAGGTCTCCCCGCCATGATGGGATGAGTGCACCTATGAGAAGAGACACAGGAGAAGGTCTCTTGCTCTCCCTCAGCCATGGGAGGGGCCCTCTGCCAGCACAGGACTTTCTGGTACCTCCACCTTGGACTTACCAGCCTCCAGAACCGTGATAAGTAAGTGTTGCTTGAACCACTCGTCTATGGAGTTCTCATTGTAGTTGTCTGAACTGACTAGGACCGTATTTCATAGAACAAGGACATTCTTCTTATCAGCAGAATTTCACTGTCATGCTTGCAAATGAAAATTCCGTGTCATCTGACACCCTGCTCACGTTCATATTTCCCCCAGTCGTCCTAGGATGTCTTTAGGTTTTTATGTTAGAACTAGGTCAGGGAACCTACATGATAAGCAGAAGCCCTTCTCATGCGTTTTCCAATCCTGCCTCCTTTCTCCCCCAAAGTAACCACTATCTTGCCTGGTTTTGAATTTGATGTCAGTGGGATGGTACAGTATAGATTCTCCTGTCTGCCTCCTTCCTGGCCACGTCGTGTTGGTGACACGTTCCTTTGTGGATGACATAGAGCAGAGGTCAAACTTTATTATTTCTCATACCGATGGTCAGGACCTTCTCATCTCTCTGTGGTTCTATGAGCTGCACCCCAGCCTGCAGGGCGTTTTAATGAAACCACTTCCTTTGCCTACTCAAGCGCTGAAGACCTGTCTTCTATTCTGATCTTTCAAGTCTTGACCATCTGGAGAGCTGGTAACCTTGTGAAGTTGGGAGTGTAAAGGGTGCCATGTGGAAGGGTCTGGAAGCTACAAACACCTTAGAATCTAGTCATTTTATTTTTGGGGATACAGCCTAGAGCTCTTCTCCATGTGTGAAACTTTCAGGGGGTCCTAGAGGACAAACTAGTTTCATAAGGAGGCCAAGAAGTTATTTCTCTTTCTGATTCCCTCATAAGTGGAATTCTCTAGGGGCTATCTGACAATGGATACTCCCACAGTTTGGTTGCAGAAAGAGAAAGCGAATCCAGTCTCTTTGAG